GAAAACTTTGCTGCTGACTATGTAGCAACACCTGGCGATACATTTTTGCAATATCCCCAGTACAGGATGCTTTCTGGCTCTAAAGACAATAGAAAATAAATCTTGTTGCACTGTAGGCCCAACCAGAAGAATATCGTTAAGTGCACATCCACAAGAAGATTTGCTGGAACCATCGAAAACGACTCTTAACTTAGTAGTTTGATTTGAAGAGATGGTGACACAGTGATGTGGAAGGTAGAAAGTAGATTTGCCTAACAAATTCTGAGAAGTAACCTTAGACATGTGACCTAGGATTTCATATTCTTGAAGAAACTTTGAATATTCAAATTTTAACTTCGGATTCCTTTGAAGCTTCCTTTTTAGATTTAAAAACCGTTGTTTTGCCGTCTCAAATAAATCACCTAATTTGTGAGTCTCATGCTTCAGCGGCAAGGTTACTACAAAACGACCTTCGTCATTTAGGAACGTTGTGTCTTTAAAATTGTTTTCACATTTTTGTTCTTCAATTGAGAGCGGTTTAGGTGATGACATCCCTTCTATCTCCCAAAACCGGGCCAAATGCATATCCAGCAATTGGGTTGCACTGAAATTACAGGAGACAGTATTGTGAATAGCCCTGTTTTGAATACCATTGACGGTGCCTGAGATTATCCAACCAAGACAAGTTTTTTGCATTGTAGGCAAATTTTTACCTAACTTAATTTGTCCCGTGCACAATAAGTCCCAAAAGATGTCACAACCTATCAGAATATCGATTGAATTTGGCACATTGAAAGAGGGATCAGCCAGGATTAAATGAGAAGCAATTCTTAACTCAGATATGTCTACAGGCATACAAAGTATTTTTCGAGTTATTTTTGGCAGAACTAAACAGTTCAACTGGATTGAGTACGAATCTTGACGAGCTTGTATCCTCAAGTTTGCCTGACGTAAGACTTTAGAAGTCGTTTGTCCTATGCCATTCACAGAAATATTGGCGGTATTGGTATTGAAATTCAGTTTCTTACATAAACATTCGGTAATAAAATTTGATTCACTTCCGCTATCCAAAAGACCTCTGCAAGTCTGAGATTTATTTTTACTATCCAAAACGTCAATTAGCGCAGTAGACAAGAGCACCCTAGAAGTAGCGAAATCATTTTATACCGATAAACATTCTAGATTAGAGTTCACCAGTGATACAAGAGGTTGCGAGGTCGATGTGGATGCCTCATTGGTATTTGCACGATTATCTGAGGGAATATTTGTAGAATTAGAATTGAAATTGCGCAAAAGAGTGGTGTGCCTTTTAGAGCACTTTTTACAAGGCTGAGAACGACACTGCTCGGTGGCATGATTGTTTCTCAGGCAATTTAAACACCACTTATCCTTTTTTGCAACGCTATTTCTCTCCTTCAAACTCAAAGAGAGAAACTCCTGACAGTTGTAAACCGTATGATTTTGTTTACAAAATGTACAGATTGGTGAATGTACACTAACAAATGATTGTCGTTTTAATCTTGGTTGAATTTATTGAAAAGTTTCAAGTAACTTACACCTTTCATGCAAAAATTCTGTTAGAATATCAAGAGAAATGTCATGTTTCGCAAATTCTGCTTCCCATTCCTTTCTGGTGACTGGTTTAAGCTTTAATGACACCATATGAATTATTAGAGCATCCCAATGAGCTACTGGTTGCTTTAATACTTTTAGAGCACGTAAATGCTTATTTAGTTCCAAGTCAAACAAAGCTTTAACGTGGGTTCTTATTAGAATTTTTTCTTTTTCATACCTTTTTATTAAAAGATTCCACGCTATGTCATAATTTGCGGCGGAACATTCCAATCACTTTAGTAGATCTGCAGCAGGACCTGTTAAGGAGAGCCGAAGATAATGAAACTTTTGGACATTTGCTATTGATGCATTATCATGTATAAGCGAGTAAAAGGTGTCCTTAAAAAACAACCATTGGTCATAAGCTCYATCGAAGRTGGGTAATGGTATAGGAGGAAGTTTTACGTTTGTTGAGGCATTTAAATCGAACGGACCTTGTGATACTAAGTTTTCCACTGAACCAGCTTGACTATTACCGGTCAAACTATTTGGAGAATGACTTGATACAACTGCATTTTCAATTATATTTTTTGCCTTTGCCATACATTTAAAGTAGGTGTTTTCAAACTCTATAATTTCATTTTCATAACTATTATTATTATCATAACTATAGTATTTATCTCTAGTGCCTCGAGTCTGTCACAGACATTATTAAAGCTTTCTAAGGAAGGCTGAACCTCAATAATGCGAAGCTCAATCTCTTTTATTTCCACGTTTTCAGGATCTACTAGAGAATCAACAAATCGCTTAAATCTTGTTGGTTTAGATTTTAAGTATGTTTTATTATTTTTTAGTGTTTTGCACTCTATTTCACCTTCAGTCGCCATTGCTATTATAATGAGATGATTGGCTCTTTAAGGTGGAATTAATTATTGATGACCAACTTTAAAATTTGTTTAAACTTGAAACTGAAAGATGATAAGTCTGGGCTAGGAAGGAAACGCACTGACCTGAGTTGAGTCTCTTTTATGCCTTGGCTGTCTTCACTATCCAGATCTAATAGTTATATTTGCTGGTTTAAATTACACGGGATTCGCCTTGCGTGTAATTTCTTCTCATATCCGGCTCGAAGGACCATATGTTGTGCACACCTTTATGCTTCAGTGCGCTGAGGATTACTGCTTGCCTTTTTTTGTTGGTTTTTATAGATTATTCATTGGATTATTGCTGATTTATTTTTTTTTTATTATTGATTCTTACTAGATTGACAATTTCACTTTTTTCATTGTTACACACCAAACAACCAGAACAAAATAAATGACAAGACGCCGTACTGGCACGTTCAGAAATGTTTTGTCCGCGCCAATAATTGTGTTTATTACCTTTCGCCTATAAGATATGCTTAGTTTCGATGATGATATAAAACAGCATTTTTAATCTGTAAGTATTACTATTAGTCTGGGTAATTTAATGTTTTTGTTGACTAAATATCACGCGTAAACAATTCAAATGCTACTAGAAAAGTGGTGCCCCATCACTCAAAGGAAGTTCAGTTAAAAGATAGACAATAATAATGCAGTTTTCAAGGTTTTGACAAACTTGTTGCATAACAAAAACACAGGTTTATTAGCTTACTGTGCAAGACGCCCGATTAGTTTCCAAAACGAGTGCTATCATAAACGAGAGAAGAACTAGACTTAGTAAAAAGCATACGCAAAAATTATTCTTAAACATTTACTAATTTTCACCCTTTTAAACATACTCGCATTCAAAACTGTTTATATTGGATAAAAATATATGTTTTATTTAAGCGATTAGATTTCATTATCAGTTTTTTTCATTAAGTAGTTAATTGTTACCCATGTTTTGTTTTTAGAGTACATTATTTTTAGTTTACCAATGCTAAGCACAATTCTGTTAAATAATCTAAATCATTATTTATCTTCACGACCTCTACCAACATCATTATTGCGAATGTTGAATGAAAAATTGAAAAAGTAACATGATACTTTTGGAACCGCATATTGGAATCTAATACCAAAATGAAACTGAATCACCTGTTTACATATTGTACAATTTACCAATGGGAATTTAAAATTCCGTTTTTAGATGTAATTAAGTATCAAGAATCAATATTTTTTACTAACATACGCATATATTTTAATTTTACGAAAGAACCGTTTTGAAGTGTCTTCAAAAAGATGCTCTACGGTTCATGCTCTACAGTAGTCTACAGAGAGTTAAACGTTCAAAACCTTGATTTTGTCATTTGTCTACTTTGCATGCCGACAAAGTTCGAAGTAGTAGATACTCAATGGCAAAATTGATTGCAAACAAACAATCCACGATGTGCTATTAATATTTTGTGGAAGCAAATAGCTACTTATTACACTTTGTTATAGAATTTCATCGGTTTAGAAAGAATCTAGAATAGTGCAAGTCGAATTTTCATACCGTAAATATTTTGATGATAGTCCTAAATCAGTGGTATAAATAAAAACATTTATCAAAATGTTTGGTGAACATGTTTGTTCCGTTTAGCAATAACAGTAAAGTATATATGTTCAACTGTTGTGTTTCCCTCTAAATAATAATAGCTTTCAACAATACAAATTCAATTCCGAACTTATTGTCCTACTGCTATTTAGATTATAAATAATGTATCATAATAGGCTATAGGAATCGATAGATAATGCTGGATTCCAACAAATTGTTAAGTATTTTGTTATGTCCGGAAAATTACGGCTGCTATTCATAATATTGAGTTGGAAGTATATGTTTCTAAATTACATTATATAGTAATAGTTGATTATATTAAATTTGGAGACAGTTTTACATTCGACCTTTTACTCACGAGTGGTAAATTAAAAGGAGACACGAATGGATTTATTTGACTAATCATAGAATTTCAAGAACACGTTTTATTCTGCGTCATGCATGCGACATTTTTCCGGCATCCGGATATTTATTTATACGTTTTTTCAACCCCGCCACTAAGGTTCAGCTCTATCGAAATCAGTCTTGCCTCCACGTGAGAACAGTGCGTTATATGACCTGCTATAACACGGTTGCTCCAGTTTGTTATGGGCTAAAAATTATAACATCCTCAAAAATAAAGATAAATGGCCGAATAGTCACTTAAAACATTGCGTGTTTTGTTTTCAAATAAATTAATCATATAATTTGAAATGGAAAGCGTAGGCGACTTCGACTTGGAAATGTTGCTAAATACTCTCAAAGCAAAAAGTATAAAATATCGGTAATAACTGTAAAATGCATGTATCTTGAAAATACTTCTTGCGCAACGAATTTTATCATCCATTCAGATATTTCACATTAAAACCCAAATGCAGATTGTACAACACTGTTTTAAATGTCTACCAAGTTTGAAAATGCCTGTTATAATAAATAATAAAATTTAATGTAAGCGGAATAAATTGTGTCACAAAAAGCAGTTGCTGAAAAACTATATGGGACACCAACGTAATAGAACATATTTGCTGATAGTACCATAACTCACACCGAAAGACCAATAATTATTGAGACCTCAAGGTAATTACCAAGCTGTGTTTTTTAAATTTCTTCGTAAAGAGCCAAATATTATTCGGCTACTTGTAATATTAATATTTTTTTTGTTGGGAGTTTTTAATAACACGTTTTGATTGGATTGATGATTAGGAAGAATTCTAAATTCACTTTCAGCTGAGTGTCAAATAGTTCGCTGCAAGGCTAAAGAAGAACATATATGTTAACACCTTCATGCAAAATAGCAGAATTCTTAGCAACTCATGAACTAAATCTGACATAAGCTAAACCTTTCTCGTACTAAATGTGTACGAAGTTGATCAAACGTTTGTTATATGGTTTTCTAGTTTTTTTCAAAAACAATTTGCCCATATAAACTACAGCAACACATTCACTGAAATAATGCCATCCCTTCAAATAAAAATTAAATTTATTTGGATCCAGAATGTACTAGGTTATATTGAAAAACGCATTTTTGTAACTTCAAATTATAAATATTTATAAAATACCATACAATATTTACGAACATTGTATTGCGCTATGCAGATCATCAGTGCTTTATAAACGTACATATAAATGAAAAATTTACATGTGGATGTCTATATTTTAACAAACAAAAAGTGTTTGTTTTATATGGTAATTTTTATATTCAAGCAGTAATTTTTAAAATGTACCAATTCACTTTGTAGATTGTTATTTTTGGTCTAACCGTTTAGAAAGTTGCCTTGGAAATCAAGACCTAATTTACCTGAAAGAAACTTGCAGCCCTCATCATAATTTATCTAGTATTTAAAGTTTTTCTAGAAGCTGCTGGTCCTAAAGTGAGAAAGTGTCATCCGAAATTTTCAGCTGATAAATTATCCTATTGCTTTCATCGCAACATCTCATCACTTGCCGACAGAACCATACGGCCCTTCAATGACCTTATAGCTAGTTTTGTTTAGCAGTGCGTCATGGATTTAATACTTATACATAAGCGTCATTATTGATAAATGCCCACTTTTTGCAATGACGGTTCTCTTAAAGTTCTCGCTTGGGTAAAGCTATGTTAACTCGCAACAAACCATGAGGTGCCAAAATTGTTTCGCCGCTTTCTCAGAAAACTTCTTAATCGACTTAAGTTAAGCTTAGAACTACGTCCTTCAAGGGCAGGGTCTACGCTATGACAACCACACACGACTGGAATCCATATAAATTACAAATTGTTTGTAGTTCTGAAATTACCGTCTGGAAATTATGGAGTTTTATGAACAGATGCCTGTCATTGTTTAAGTTCAACTATAATGAAAACAATTGGCCTTTATGGCAAAGTCGGAAAAGGAACGGCTGCGACTTCTAATTAAGACAGCTTCCAGCTTCCTCAAGGAAAGAGACGCAAAGGAACAAAACGGAAACGTGCCCTTTTAATTGCCCGTGTCGTCGTATATAAGAGACATCTAAGATGAAGTCAATTCGCCAACTTTTCAACATTTTAATGTAGAACTGAAATTGTTTTCGTTTTGCAAAATTCATGTTTTGGAACACATCTGCATGTCAGACATTTAACGTTTTTTTTAATTTTTGACAATAAAGTATCAATGGTCTTTTCTTAAATTGTAAATGTGGGTTTTGGTTGGTGTTTGTGGATTTAAACTTTGAAATCTATTCTCAAAGTTGCTACTCACATATTTCTTATATCTACAGAAAGTTTATCACGAAAATTAAAGTTCAAAATGCTTTGCTTAAAATTGTCTTCATTTTATAGGAATGTTCGTAACTTGCGAAAATTCGATATACATACAAATATTTCACCACATGATGCTGTAAATTATTGTTTCCAAATACTTTGTAGAGTTGGATATTATGACTTGTATCTTACATATTAAATCAATCGACTGTCCTAAGCTATTATAGTTTCCATATCTCTTTAAGAGAAATGGAACAATTAATCGATGTATATAACTGGTGAGACATTTTCCATGACGATAATTTTATGAGAAACTCTAATGAGTTTGCAGAAGCATTTGCCATTAGTTTAATTAAGCTAATGCATCTATTCAACTTTACCGCGTTTACTCTGATTTCCGAACATTCTAAAGCGACCGAGAAATATTTGCATCAAAGACAATAAGTTGGCATTTTTACGTTTCCTTTTGTGTTTCTGTTAAAGCGGAGGAAATTTAATAAATTCAGGGTTTGTGTAGTTGCTTTGCAGAATTCGAGTTGGTGATCGATTGTTTTTAATTAGGCAGGAGGGGTTGGATGGATATTGCTCTGTGGGTCTGTTAATTGTTCTCTGAAATGACAGTCAAATTTACAGCTAATAAATTGAGGCTGTTTAAAAGGCCACGGCCTACAAATTGCTCATTAAACTTGGGGTGATATGCCAAATGGAAAATTTTCTGGAGAAAAAACCATAGACGTCTAAGAATACCAGGATTGTTTGTTTTATTGTTCCTTTCAAGCGGTTTAGGCTCCTTTCACAAATTCATTGTATTTATTGTCATTAATGCATTTTCTTACCAAAGTGTTATAATCTCAGCTATCATATATTTTATCTTTATTTTCCTACGTAGATTTGCTAATAAAACAATTATGTTTCAATTACAAAATGTGAAAAATTTAACATAACATAAAACATAACGTAAAATCGGGAAAAGTTCTATAAAAAAAGGAGTTTTAATAAGCGTTTGTTTAAATAAATAAAAACATACAGGGTGATTCAAAATTGGCGTCATTCCTCTGGAAGTGTTGT